TACTGACCACCGGGCGGGACTTCTTCTGGAGAGACGTACAGCTCACGGACTTCATCAAGTACGCCCTGGAGAGCCGTCCATTTTGGGGGTTCTGAAAAAAGAAGAAAATAAAAGTCAGAGGCAACTAATTTTTGTTTTCCCGCCGCTACCCCTTAATAATATACAACGGCATTTTCTAGGGTTTTGAATAGTTTCTATTAGTTAGTAAGCTATAAAAAATCAGAAAAACGAAAATCATCACCTTTTTTGGTCATTTTGAATACATTTTGACCGACCATTTAATTAATTTTTTTTTAGAATTTTTATGAGCTTATATCGAAAATGTGGAAAAGGCGATAAAAATGGTTTATATTTCGTCATAGGGCCGGAGCGGATCACCGGAAAAGATGTGCCCCCGCTAACAGCCAAGAACCAAAAACCTACCCGCAAACTCTGGCCTCGGCGACAGCGCGGAAGCGAGCTCCTGGCTGACGGCCATCAGACGATTTCCGGTTGGGGTGAACAACCAGCCGGACGAGTGCTCCAGGGCCTATAAAATCAAGGAATTTATCCCATTTTTTGGCAAACAGATCCTAAAAAAGCTCATGAGCGACAAAAAAAAGGAAACCGCCAGCCATAAAATGTTCAATTGCCGACTGGAATCTCCAATTTCATGATCCCGAAGTGTCAAAAACTCGATTTCTCCAAATCGCGCAATTTCCGATTCTCAAAGTCAGATAATGTCGAATTTGGTGCACCAAAATGTCAGAATTTCGATTTTTTGATAATTTAGCATGCACTGAATTTGTAATTTCATCGGAATTTTGCGATTCTGAAAATCGAACTTATAAAAATCCAGATTTTTACAATTTGACGAAATCTTCAGCCACAAATCCCACCTCTTTATCCTTGGAGAACCAATTGAGCTTTGAGAGCACCGTGCACGCGTCGCGGGTCTCGGCGATCCGCAGCAGATTCCGCAGGAATTCACAGTCCTGCAGGAGGCGCTGCTGGCGGTCGGGCAGGTAAGAACTGAAACATGGAATTTACAGGTGGGCCAGCCTTTTCCGTATTATCCAATTTTCCCGATAAATTTGTTTAAACCCGTTTTTTTCTGTGTTTATAAATGCAAAAACTTTACAATTTACTTTTAAAAGATAGATTTTTTTTGACCAGAAATCACCGATTTTCGGTACGCGGCGCTCCTGGGCGCGCTGAACTGTCCACGGACGGTGTAATTCGTACTCTCTACAAAAAAAGCCGCCAATTCCGCTATAAATGACGATTCATCTTGAAAATTTCATAGCAAGATTGAAAAACAAATTCTATTAAAAGGTTCTACGAAAAATCGCGCATTTAGGTCAGAAAAATTAAATTATATGTTTTTATGAGGCCCCCATTAACAGTCCAGCGCCGAAAATTGACCGTTTCAATCGGAGCCTCCTCTCCAGCTCGGTGACGAAATAGAGGCCCGAATTGAACGCCTCCGACTCGGCGTCTTCTTCGATTTGGCTCTGAAATAGACTGTGTCGAATCGTTTCGAGCTGCTCACCTTGACACGGACGGCCGACTGCTTCAACTCGCGCAGACACACTTTTAGCAGGTCGGAAATCAGAGAAATACATCTCCGCATGGCCCCCGGTAGATCGATGCCCAACTCGATCGAGGTCGGCTAAAAAAAAAATTAGAAAAATATAGAAAGAAATTTACTAAAAATTACCTCAGATTTGGAAAGAGTCTCGACGACGCCTTCATCGTAACGGGGGACGAGACGGACATGACGCACGTAGAGACGATCCACCAATCTGGAAGATCGACACTTTCAGTAATTCTCTGACGGCCGGGTGTTCTCAAATAGGATGGAAATTCCATTCGAGACCAAGCCTATCTTGAGCAGAATTTTTCGCTGATTCTGACCATGCTTTTAATTTTTGCTAACCAGCCAGATTTAGAAAGCGGCAGCTATTTTAAGACCATTCTCAGACCGAGGAGAAGTCATCTGACATGATGCTCTACTTTTTATTTTGATAGTCCAATATAGTTTCACCAGCTTTTCTGACAGAGAATTTTATTCTGATTCGAATGGTTTCATTGATTAATGCGCTATAGGGCCTCTAGACCATCGTTTACGGGTGTGCGGAATAGGTGATTTTTTTCGCCACTTCCCCATACAAAAATCAGAGTCCATGCCAAGAAGTAACGTCGATTTTTTCAATTTTCTACAATTTTTAGTTAAGGAGCTCACTCGACAGAGGAAATTTTTGTGAATACACTGGCAATATTATTTTTTTTTGAAAATCAGCCGGAAAGATAAAAATAATCGACCTTGAAGCCCGGAAAAATTTTCGCAAAAGTGTCTTACACCTTCCAACTTTTTAAATAGGCGTATTTAGTAAAAATTTAAAACATGATCAAAATCAGCGTAAAATTCTGCACAAGATAGGCTTGGTCGGACCCGAAACCCCGGCTTCGCTCCAAAAACGCCTCCTTGCAAGGAATTTCGGCTAGCACGTTCCGGTCGGTCCGCCTTTAGCTGCCTGATGAATTCCGCAAGAATCTCTGCCAGCCGACCTCTGCAACTGTCCCAATCCAGCAATGGCTTGTGGTTGATCGGTGAATGCCCTCACACGGCCTTCCTTATTCTTCTCACGGTAGAGACGCAGGATGAAGGCGTCTTGGAATGTATTCAGAAGCCTAGAAAGCCGGAATTCAATTTTATTCATGAAAAACCAACTGATGAGCACGGTAGACCAAGATGACGGCCACCATTTTGGCCGGAATTCGATCCGTCAAAAAGTCGACCATTAGAATTCGAGAGGTGATGAAGTGGACGCCGCCTTGGAGGTAGAGGGCTTGTCTAAAAATGGGTATGGCAGGCTGGCAGATGTTATTGGCCGAAACCGGGGCAGCCTACAGCGGAGGCAAACAAGCAGGGAGTATTTCGGAAGCAGAAAATTTCATGGCAAACTGGCAGAAACTACAGGGTGTCCCAAAAAAATCACCCCTTCTAGCCGGCCGCAGACAATTCTGATATCTAGCGAAAACTCTCGGAAAGGCGAGTCCAGCCAGTTTTTCCGACTCTCAAATTTGTGAAATTTTTATAACATTCACTAATATTTTTGCGAAACGGGATTTTCTGAGGTTTTCTCTGACAAAGGGGCTGCTTAACAAAATGCACAACTGGTTTTTACGCCCTTCCTGGCAGCGCATCGACAGTTTTTTGAAAGCCATTTGCAAAAACACAGCTTGGATAGCGCTAAAACCGTTTCAATTCGGTTTTTGACGAAAAAGCGTGACATTTTTGAGTGAAAAAAAAGGCCGAAAATCGAGCAAAAACTTGGAGATTTCGGAAATCGGAATGATGTGCTGAACTCGCCTTTCCCAGAGCTTTCGATCGATACCTAAATCGTCAAAATCGGAAACGACTGTGGCCGGCTAGAGGGGGTGATTTTTGTTTGGGACATCCTGTACTTTAAAATTCCATGGCAAGCTAGCAGATTTTCGCCCCAAAAAATAGCGCACCGATCGGCAATGGACACGTCGGCGTTGAGGATCTTTGGCGGGGTGAACTGGTCGGTTGGCAGGGCGTTGAGCTTTGAGAGGAAGAAGGCCTCGTCCTGCAAAACAATGAGAATTGATAAAAATAGTGAAATCTATCACTTAAATCATGAAAATCGCTCCCAAAAACTACAAAAAACCGGGTACGATCATTACTTCTAAAATCATTACTTCTAAAAGTCATTACTTCTAAAAGTCATTACTTCTAAAAATCATTACTTCTAAAAACGTTACTTCTAAAATTTGGTATGCCGGATTACCAGTTTTTCGGCATATTTATGCCCAAAAATACGCTTAGAATTTTAGAAGTAACGACTTTTAGAAGTAATGATTTTAGAAGTAATGATTTTAGAAGTAATGATGGGTAGCCCAAAAAATTACCTGATCGGTGGTGTTGATGACGAGGGCGAGCAGCTTGCGACTCGAGTACAGCATCAGGTAGTGCAGGAAGAGACGCTCGACGCCGAGACCGCTGCGAAAAACCACATTTAAAGATAAACTGAACAAAATCAATAAAACAATTTGTTGCAAAATGTCGGGATCCAGTTTCAAAAGTCATTTTTCAAATAACTTTTTCAAAATTATGGAATTACCCGGCAAAAACGAAGAGCGTGTCGCGCGTCAGATTGTCGAGCATCAACCGGTGCTCGTGCTCGAGCAGTGGCACAGCTTCCGGAAAAGCCTAAAAACTCGGAAAAATCAAAATATATCCATAACAACTACATACCTCTATTGGTGGATGGTACTCGACCGCCGGATCCGCCTCCAGCACCACTTCCTTTTTCACCTAAAAACACTATTCTTGGTTTTCTGAGCGGCATTCTACCTTGTTCGGGTCAAATTCGGGCTCCATCAACCGGGAATTGCCTGTAAAAAATTGATTTTGAAAGCATTAGAAACAAATAAAACCGTAGAAACGCTATAAAATGTGATTTTGGATTATAAAAAGTTCAAAACTCCACAAGAATACGGCTAAACCTTCAAACCAAACAATTTTTCGATTATTTGCTAATTTTTAACGTTTTTATCAATCTTTTGACCTCCAATTTTTCGATTTTCAAAACTCGGGCGAATATGGTGGCGTAACGGGTTGGAACGTGCGGAGTAGCCGATCGGAATCTGGCTTTTTAAGCTTGAAAAATGCAAAAAATAGCTCAATTCCCTTCAGAAACGCGTGACACTGAATTCTGTATCCGATTTCTCGAGACAAACGAGTTTTGAAATATTTATCGAAAAAAGCGCGAATTTTTTCAACTACACGTCGATGGCGGCGAATTTCTACTTAATGCCGAGCGGGAAATAGAGGAGATGGGTAGGGGGCAAACAATGAGATAGAATGACGCCAATTAAACGGAAATACAAGCAACACCAAGCAATTCTCGGCAAACAAACAGCAGGAAAACAAATCGAGAAACGGGACCAGGGGGCGAGATCGGGATTTTTTTCTCTTGTCGGCCGCTTCATTGCTGCTTCGCGCCATATTCGGGAGTCGGGAAGTCGAGCTGAAAAAAAGCGGGGCATAATTCAAAATTCATTTCCTAGCTTTTTGCTAGTTTTAAGTCACACTGACTTTCTAAGATTTCACTAAAACAACAGACGCGAAATATAAATTTTCAGACAAAAATTTCAAAGCATACGGCATTTCCCAAGTTTTCCGCTTGAAATAAAGCCAATTTTTGCTAACAATTCTTGTTATTAAATTACTAGGTAAATTAGAGGTTCTCCCGGTTTTGCATTAACACCAAAAATCCCATTTAGCGCGTTAGGAAAGCGTTTCTAGTTCCAAATTCAAGCTAGAAAATTTTTTCAAAAATGCACCTCTCCCTGACGACGGTCGATCTCCTCGTCGTATTTCGGCGTGTCCGAATCCGAATCTAAAACAATTTTTTCAAAATTTTAAAGTGATAAAAATCGTACCGCCATAAACACAGATCGGCTCCGGGGTCGAGTAGGTGAGATTGACGCCCGCCGGCTGCGACTTGGCGCGAATCGAGCTACGCGGCACATCAGTGGCTTCTAAAAAAAAACAAATTTCGGCAGTTCCTGCGCTGGTTCGTTATCGGGGGGGGACTGCCTTTATTCAGCACTCCATGATAATAAAAGATAAACCGTTTTTAGATTTCGGATGCTTACAAAAGCGTAAAATGGCACAGAAATAGTTTGTATTTACTTATTGGCGCCGAGACAGGGCGTTAGGCCAAATTAAGCCTCCCCCCGCAAACAGTCTAGTACCGAAAAATGTGCGAAACGCTGCGAAAATAACAGAAATTTTCAAGAATATCATATCAAAATCTGCTGTCAATTTTGACGTAAAAAGTATACCGGAAATCCCAAAAATTTAGCAATTTTTTCGTGTATGAAAAATGGATACCAGTGGTGGTGTTGTTGTTATCGCCAGATGCGGGGCGCGGGGCGAGCAGCTTCTGGCAGTTGGCGATCAGATCGATGGATATCTTCGGATTGGACTTTGGCGTCATCTTCACCTTTCGATCGAACGCCGCCTCGACGCCCGACTTTTTCTTCATGGCCGCGTCACGACGGCTGAAAGAAAGAAATCATAAATTTTTATTAAAAAAAGAGAAAATATAGATGATTTTTCGATAGACAGTTTTTTAAAAGATTTTCGTTGGTTTTTCTGGCTGAAATATACTAAAATACTTACTATCAAGCTACTAGAGATTTATAGAATTATAGCAGTTATCTATAGACTCCTATAAACGCGAAAGAACCGAAAACTACCATGAATAAACCAACTACCGCGACAGAATGACAAAAAATTTCGAAGTAACTTTTTCGCGTTTTTCAGTTTGGCCTAAGAGCCGAAATACCTTCGAAAGTTTCAGCAAAATGCGTGTAACATTCTAAACTGCAGCCAGCTTTCAAACCTTGATTTTTTACGTTAAATTTTTGAAGTTGGCGCGGGTAGCCGAAAAACGATACCTTTGCTCGAGCTCGCGGCGTTCCTTCTCCTTCTTCATGGCCTCCTGGCGCTCGTCGACGGGGCGACGTTCGAGTGGCAGCTTCTGCTGACGCGAGGCCACACTAAAAATATTGTAAAAAAATAAAAATCCAAGAAACCTGCTAGCCCGCGAGAGGTCGCGTTGACGGAGGTCGTGCTTCGACTTGCTCGGCTGGGCGTGCTGGCGGCTCTCATCGACCTTCGACGAGCGGGATGGGCGCTCTTCGGCCGGCGAGTGACGCCATGATGATGATTCCCTGCAAAAAATAAATATTTTTCAAATTCAATATTTTCTTTTTCAAATAATATTCAAATTCGAAGATTTTTTGAAATATAAATAACGGAGTTATTTCTAAACGGCTTTTTATGATTCCTAAACGTGAAAACTTTACAAATTCTTTGTAAAAAAATACAAAAAAAAAGACTTTTCGACCCGAAATTGACCGATTTTCTACAAAAATTTGCACTTTTCAAAAATTTTTCAAGTAATTTTTGCTATTAAGTTGCTCGGAATTGCTACACTTTTCAATAAAATTCGGCCCCCCCCCGCTAAATCATAAGAACCTAATATGCAAAACAAGACTCCAAAACCGAATTCAATAAATTGTTCGAAAATGCAGAAATCGTAAGTAAAATTCGCAAAATGAAATGAAATATGAACAAATATAGGGCCTCCAAAATTCGTGTTAAAATTCATAAATCTTCATTCGGAGGCTAAACCTTTTAAAGCCATGGCAAAATGGCTAAAAATTTGAAATTTACGCCAAAACATAGATTTTATCGAAAATACCTCTGCTTGCAAAAATTTGTAGGTTTTTATGGCTAGGAATCACTACAAAATCCAGGCTTCGAAAAGGCCAATTTTTTCGCCAAAAAGCCAACAAAAAAAACAAACATTTTAGCAGAGTCCAACGTGCGCGACAGGTGTGCCTTGGTCGACGATTGTGAACGAGCATCTGGCTTGGCCGTGGCGAAGATGTCGTCGACTTCTAGAAGCAGAACATAGATATATTCTTAAAAATGGGCATACCGTGAGGGCGCGACTTTTTGGGCTTCGAGGCCGCTTCGGTCTCGACCTTGACGACGGTGTCTTGGCCACGCTTCAGACGCTGCGATGGCGTACGTTGTGGCATGCACTAAATCGAGGATATTGATAATAAGGAGCTGTGATAACAGGGTTTTGCAAAGAGCCGAAGAGCCGAAAATTCTGTACAAATCTCCGGTCTCAAAAACTAGCCCACGAAGGAGATTTTCGAGAATATTAGCTTTCCACGGAAGATTTTGTCAATTTTTGGCCCTGAACAAAAACGTGAATGAGAGAATTTTCTCGCACTTAATTTTTAAAATTTTCGACATTTGGCGCTCCTTGTTTCAAAATTTCCAGCACTATAATCCACGCCACGTCACAGGGCAAAATTTCTTATCCTGTAAGATAAATCGAACAGAATTTTCGAAAAACTCGGATATCAACCCTCAAATTTTCGCAAAAAAATATACCGAGCTGGCCCGCTTGCGCTCGGCTTCGTCGGGCTTGTCGCGGGGGCGCTCGGTCGACTTTCGCGACGCACGCGTTTCGTCACGCGGCGGCAGTGATGGCTCCGGCACCTCGCGCGGTTTCGACGGGCGGCTGGGCGGCGCTCGTGACTTGTCGTTTTTGGTGGCCGCTGGAAACAGACAATTAGCTAGAAATGCATGACATTTGCGGCCCGACATTTTGAGAGAAAAAGGGTCCGTTTCAATTTCAGAGCAAAATTTACCAATTGGCTATGAAAGTCCTAATTTAAGATAAACCAGGGTTGAAAAGCCGCTTCGCGACTTTTCAACCCTGGCCCCGTCTGACCCTACAATGTTCTTCGCCTTACATAATTTTCCTGAATCCCGATAACGAAAAAACGAAAAGACGCTCCCTCTTTCCGATTATATAGGCTATCGCCATTTCCGGCGTATGCTAACTATTTCCTAACAAAGAGGGGTGTCCTATTTTTCAACAAAAACTTTATTTTAATGTAAAAAATCGAACAATTTGCACAATCTGATAAGCGTGCAGTCATCTTGGAGCCATTACGCACCTAATGGTGTATCAAATATATAAGGGCCTTCCCCTCTCGAAATATCCTCCGGACAACCTGACGGAAGTTGCATGCAACTGCACACACACAGACACTATTTTTTTATATATAGTAGGATGGCTTTACAAACATACTTAAAAAGCCGCACTAAAATTTTAAAATAACTTTTCGGCAGCAAGCGCCGGTCGGCAGTTCATAAAGCGGTTGAAAAAAAAAATTTACGTGGTGGAGTTGGCTTGGCGAAGGCGCGGTCGGCGGCGGGGCTGGCGACGGACTTGGCAATGTGATCCTAAAAAAGGAATAAAAAATTTTACAGAATATTCGGTACCTTGGGTGAGTTTGCGGCCAGCATGGTGACCAGCGAGCTCGAGCTCTAAAGAATACAAATTTCGAAAAATAAAGGCAAAAAGCGATACCGTCGGGCTGATCGGCTCCTGCTTTATGAAAATCTTGTCGAGCTTGAAGCCGGGCGCCACTTCCGGCACTGGGATCGGTGGTGGAGGCTGAAAATGGAGGGATTTATTGCTAGGAGAGAAAGAGAGAGAGAGAGAGAGAGAGAGAGAGAGAGAGAGAGAGACAGACAGAGCGAGAGGGGATAAAGATATTGAAAAACCATACCTCACGCCGAGGCGTAGCCGACGGCACAGGAATCGGTGGAGGGGCCTAAACGATTACATTTTTCCGTCCAACTTTCTACACGTCCCAGTGCTGGACTGTTAGCGGGGGGGGGGATGACTTCTTGTTTTGCCGCCTATACCTACTTGTTTTGATAACATCAAACACATTTTTATCGTATTTTTCCCCTCGTCGTTTTCGTTTACTGAAAGTTAAAAAAGTATTTCGGAAATTAATGAATATCCGAGAATCTTGAACTATTTTCGTCATTTTTCATGCATTTTTGCCCAAACTAAAAATTATCGAAATGTTTAGAATTTTTTCGCGGTTTATATCGCTAAAACCATGTAAAATGCTATATACGAGGCCATGCGGGGCGGCTGGGGAACTGTAACCCCCCGCTAACAGTCCAGAACCGAAAAAAACGCGGGCCGCTTTGAGCCGATACCTGCTTGCGCGCCGGCGTCGCCGCCTTTTCCTTGGCTTCCGGCTGCTGCTGGACGGGCTTGTGCTGTGCGTTGGGCGACGGGGCCGGTGGTTGTTGAAGTTGCGGTGGTGGTGGCGACAGCGGCTCGTACTTGTTGATGACATTCGGCTCACTAAACGCGAAAAAATAGGGGAAAACTAGGACAACGTACCCCGCCGTGATGTTGTTGTTGAGCATGGGCGGTGGCTGGTGCTGAGCCATCGGCGTTGCGATCAAAAGCGCTTGTAACTCGGGCGGCATTTGAGCTGCTGGCTGGCCGAACGGGAATTGCTGAAAATTATGAATTACTAGCACAAAGCCTCGGCTGTACCTCTTGGATTCGACGCTGCTGCGCTTGAGTGGTTGCCATCACCGCGGGCATCATCAGCAGCGTGTGCTGGACGGAGTGTTGATACGTGTCGAGGAACCACTGAAAAAGAACGTAATTCGTTAGCCTGCTTTCGCAAGATCGGGGAAACGCAATTTTACCCTTCTAAGCCAAAATTTTTTTATAGATAGATAGCGAATGTTTGTTTACTTAATTAAATTGCTACATTGTTTTAACTATTCCTAATCATAAAAACGACAAATTTCAATCAAAAATGTTAAAGCTTACTAAAAACAATGTAAAAACACTGATATTTTATTAAGTCCAAGCGGGGCCCACATGAAAAAAGTTGTTTCCCCGCGAATCCCAAAGAACCAAAAGTAACTTTTTCGTAATTTTCAACGAATGTCAGTTTTCTAAATTCAGTAATAGCAAAAGATACGCGAGCGCTGCATCTATTTCGATTTGGCCTAGCTATTAAACTTCGTCCCGCCCCCGATACGCCCAAAGAAACGTGAACAAAATTCACAAATTTTTAAATGTTGGTCGAAAACCCATTTTGGTGCTAATGCACTTAGGGGGGGGGCAGTCTGGATTTTGACTACGAGACGCTCCAAATGCCGTTGTTTAAACTCCAAGCCTCTTGATAAACTAAGCTAAGCCTAAGCCTATGCTTAGCTTCATACAAACGAAGCCTGAGCTTAGCTTGAGCCAGGCTAAGCTTAGTTCTAGGCTAACCCATAAGTGGCCCCATTTTTACCTCGTAAGTCAATTTGAAGCTCAAGTTAAGCATAGCTTTGGCTTAGGCTTAAGCTAGGCTTAGTTAAAGCTAAGTTAAGCCTAGGCTTAAGCTGAAACCCAAGTAGCTTAAGTGGAGCGCCTCGTGGCCCCTTGCTACCAATTTTGGACTGCCCCCCCTAACTGCATTAGCACCCCATTTTTTTCGTAATTTTTGAATCTCAAATTGCCGAAGTTCTTTAGTTAGCCAAATTCTATACCTTATACTCGGCTTCCAGGGTGAGCCCGTGGATGGTGTCGTGCAGCATGGGCTGATAGCTAGCCGTCAGCCCGCGCGTCTCCTCGATCAGCGCCGCCAGCGCATTTTTGCACTAAAAAGGGGGGATTCTCAGGAAGGAAAGAAGGAAACTGACCCCGTGGCGTCGGAGGAAACCTCCGACCCACCCGACGAGGCCACTCATCAGGAGTGGCGGTAGGTTCGGCTCGTTCATGCCCAGCTTGAGGTCTGGAAAAAATATGATGTTAGAAAAGGAATGTTTAGCAAGAAGGTGAAAAAGTGAGGGTTCGAGCAAAGGGTGCGAAACAGCAGGAATCCGCCAGGAAAATCGCAATTGGGGCGGGTAGAAAGCGTTTTAATAGTGTTTTTAGCAGAATAAAACTATATTTTAACCAGAAACTATCTAAAAACCTTAAAAAATGTTGAAAGAATCGAAATTTTGGTAAAAAATGGCGGTTTTTGTCAGAACAACCTATATTTTTTGTTTTTTTTTAATTGGGGAATTTTTACGTTTAGGAATAGCAAAACAAAAGTTTAGAAACGTTTTTTCAACTCTATATTTTGTTTAGCACCGGCTAAAAATGGGCAGAATCGGCGTTTCCAAACAAATTTCCCTATAGACCGTAGCTGTTCAACAATTTTCGAAAAGTGGCGTTTTGTTCAGAATTTCAAGCTCTATCGGAAGAGCTACGTCGCGTGTCCCTGCAAGTAGTAACGAGAGCTCAAATAATTGAATAAGAACTACAAGAGAGTGAATTGCGCCTAAAAATCTTCTCGACATCTCCAAATTTTCCAAAAAACGCCCTAGAAACGTCTTTACGATGCCCAACAAAAACAAAACAAGCCAAGATTAAAATAAAGGAAAACAAATCGATAAAATAGGCCGGAAAAAACCCGAGAAATCCGGTTTCGAAAGCCTAAAAAAAACTGAAAATTCGAAACGATTTTGACGCTCCGTACGAATGCATCCGTGCGGAATTCGTCAATTGGCGCGTTTCGGAACAGCTTTTTCTTTTTCGAAAATTCAAATTTACTAAACTTTTAAAGTAGTGTTCTTAATTAATTTCTTATTTTTTATTGATTTAGTAATTTTTAACTTATTTTTTTTGTAGTTTGAACTTTGTGTTGCTTTTTCTTTTTTGTTGAAAAATCGCCAGTTTGAGTGTTTTAGAGTCGTTTTGTTATTAATTTATTAGTTTTTATTTGATCTAGCAGTTTTTTACTTATTTCTTTTTTTTTTTGTTTTTCTTTATCCACTCTCCCATCAAAACGCGTGGTTTGCGGCCTTGCCACGAGTTCCGCGCCGTAATCGGTTCGGCTTTTCCGGCGCATCGGGGGGCTCCGTTTGCTTATCGCACACTCGTGGGGGTCGTTTTCTCCCCTTTTTTGCTTGAACCTTTTCCTCGAATTGCCTCCTCGCTTGCTTTTTTCATCGATTACGCTTAATATAGCTCAATTTAGCTCAATTTTCAGGGGAAATACCATGCCGCGCATCATCTCCGCCGACGAATTGACCGGACTGATCGCGGTTCGTTTTTAAACTTTTTAATAATCAATTCTTTGGTTTTAGAAAGGCGGCGTGGTGCTGCTGGACGCGTCATGGGTGATGTGCCCGAAGGGGGATGCGGCCGAATGGCACAAGAAGTACGACGGCCACCCCGATGCCCTCGTGAATGACAAGGTAGCTAGCTTTTTGGGTGTTTCCAGACGCCTAGCAGCGTAACCATTTTAATAGTAGTTTCAAGATACTGTTGCCCGATTTAAGCTGGAAAAACCGTGGAGAAAACTCGGCTAAACGCTTAGAAATGCGCATTTTAAGAAATTTGGCTGTCCTGGGATTCAAAAACGATTTAGACGACTTAGAGAAATGTGTAAAAGTTCGTAATTTGTGTAGAAAATGCTATATTTGTCGATTTTTATAATCATGTCTAGTTTTTAAATTTAGAAACAGTACAAAAAGCCCTAAAATACTGAGAGGGGGGTTCGAATTGAGAAGAATTTGCCGGATATTTGATGCATTGATAGACACCGGTAAAGCATAAATATTTTGAGTGGGAGCTCCAGGATTTCGCGAATTGTTTTAGTGTTTATTTTGCCGGTTTTTATCAAATTAGGTACAGTATCTTAACGTTTAGATAGTTTAGATGATCCGGGTCCAAAGGAACATTTTTTTAAGGAAAAACTGTCGCCTGGAAATACTGAATAAACGGATGAAAATGGGAGAAATATGGATTTTTTTGCCCGAAAGTCAAGGCAGTAAATTGATTAGTTTTGCCCAAAAAGTTGTCATTTTTCAACTTTTTCTACGTGTTTTTGCGTAGTTTTTAGCTATAAATCAGGTAGATTTTGCTAAAAAACTAAACTATTTCCTATTTTGTTGTTTGGCATATCTGGACTCATAGGAAAAATTCGGCGCCCTCTGATTGATTGAGAAAAAAAAAACGAGAAATTCAGTGTTTCTATTCTCTACCGTTTAGAAGCACGCCGAATTCGACAGCAAACGCCTGCCCGGCGCCCGGCCGTTCCCCCTCGACGTGTTCTGCCCGCCCGGCAAGTGAGGAAATTTGCGTATTGCTGTGAATCTATGTTTTTTCAGTCAAACCCGCTTCGACTTCTACACGCCCGAGCAATTCCAGGCGCTACTCCGCTACCTCGGCGTCAATCAAGGTATAAAACATTCTAAAAGTTCAGCCTTGAATTTTAGGCGACACGCTGGTGACGTACGCGCGTGGTCCGATGGCCGGGATGTCGTTCGCGGCGCGGGCGGCCTTCGTTTTGGAGGTATAACACTTTTCCATGCGTTTGTTGCGCCGTTTCGCGTCGGAAATGGTGATTTTCTCTGTCTGGATTCCTATATTTTCGTTTTTCAAAAGAATTATCGGTACTATTGAAGTTGGGGGGGGGGGGGGGGGGGCAAAATTTTTTTGGGTCATTTTTGGGCTAATTGGTCAGTTTTTCGTGGCTAATCCAGCGCAATACTCAACTCCTAAGCTAAGCTAAGCCGAAGCACAGTTAAATTGAGCTTGAACAAAGCTAAGTCAAAGCCAAAAGCAATGATGCTGTGGCGAAGCCAAGCTAAGGACCTGGTACTAAGGCTTAGGCTAAGCATAGGCCTAAGCCTAGGTTAAACTAGTTCTAAGCCTAGCCTAAGTCAAGCTTAAGCCTAAGCTAAAGCATAAGCCAAGCCAATACTAAGCTAAGCTAAGCCTAAGCCCGAGAAAAACTGACCAATTAGCCCAAAAATGACCCAAAAAAAATTTTGCCCCCCCCAACTTCAATAGTACCGAATTATCGCTATGACGCCGAAAAGTGCAAAATATTAAAGATGTAATAATGTAGCTAAATAAAACGGCTTTTTTAATGGGTCCAAATTGAGGGTTTTTCCGCATTATTTTCATCTTGCTAAACGTAAAAGTTTAAAGAGCATTCAAAAAGGGATTTTTCGACCAGAAATGGGCTATTTTGGGCCAAATCTAAAGCTTTCCAAAAAATTCCACGTTTCCTAGGCAATTTTACTATTTTAAATACGGCTAAATTTAACTAAAATCTATTACTTAATTTATTGTATTTATTTTTATTAATTAATAGACGTAAATTTGCTCATATAAAGTAGTAGATTCGCGATTTTTGCGCTGACGATTTTGAACAGCCAAAAAGTTTTTTAAAGGGCACGTTCAGGGACGTTTTTTTGGAAAAAAGCAAAGATTTTTGCCGCGGCCGGGGGTCGAACCCGGGCCCCCCGCTCGGGAGGCGCGGATGGATACCAATCAGCCACAGCTACAACCTGGCGAGGGGGTGAGGGGCGCCCCACGCCGCAAAGGAGGGGGAATGGCCTGTCACAGCACGGGCAGGCAGTGCGCGCGGTCCCTACGTCCATAGGGTGTACACGTTGGGAAGAGTACACGGCCCCTCCCTGAACGTGCGCTTTAAATGTATTTTAACGACAGAATTGATTGTGTATAAAGTAATGTTATTTTCGCATGAATTTCGGCTTTTTTCAGCTATACGGCCTCGCCCCGCTGGTGCTCAACGGCGGGCTGACCGCGTGGAAGGGCGACGTCGAATCGGCCAAATGGACAGCACCCCCGCCCGGCAACATCACCATCAACACGTTCCAACCCGAGGGCCGGCTCGCCACTTTTGATGAGCTCTACAAGGGCCACGACCAGGGCAACAGTACCTTCGACAATTTGGACAAGGTATTGATGATTATCTCGATTTTTAGGTTCTGGTCTGTTAGCGGGGGGGGGGGGACGTTTAGCAGAGGCAAACCACTTTTCTGTATTACCAGTTGATGCCATATAATGTATTTTTGGCGTTTTTAGGAGTTTTTTTATTGCTAAAACGTTAGAGAATATTTTAGAGATTTTGAAAATGCGGAAATTTTGACAGTCTTTGGTCATTTTTCATATTTTTGTCCAAAACTCAAAAATTTTTCAAAATTCTGAATTTTTTGACATGGTTTTTATATCTAAAACTATGTAAAACGCTATAAAAATGGTTTAGTTTTGTTATAGAGCCACACGGAACTACTGGGGAAAAACGGCTTGCTCAAAGACCCCCCGCTAACGGTCCAGAAGCGTTTTTTATCCCAATTCTTGTAGATCAACTACCTGGATTGCCGGCCGAAAGAGATGTTCGACGAGGGCAAGGGCGCAATCCTGGGACCGAGTACGATTTTTTGAACGTTTTGCCTAACTATCGAATTTTCCAGAATCAACCGGCTACCATCTGAAGGGGGCCTCGCACTTTGGGAACGGGCGCATATGTGGAGATCAAGGGCTCGTCGACGACCAGCAGATTAAGCAAGGTTCACTTTCCAAGCGATAATCATGTTTTAAGCAAAAATTTGGAAAAAATTGTGATGGCAAATCTCGCCTTGCAAAATTTTTGAGTACGCGGCGATACTTTGTACGCGCGGATTCTGTGCGCTCGTTGCATTCACGCCGATTTTCGTTTTTCTTGGGACCATGACATTTCCGCCAACGTAAATTCCGCCAACGCGGGAAACGACAATTCCGCCACAGGCGACATTTCCGCCACTCTATTAAAACGACTTTTCCGCCAAATCGGGGTCAAAAAAATATAAAACCTTCCAAATACAATATTTTCTCGGTGTGTTCGCTATTTATAAATTCACCAGCGCTGACCCCCCGCTACGCGGGGGTTCAGCGCTGGCCTTCTGCCCCCACAATTTGAATTCTGGATTTGAATGCAAAATTTGGCTGAATTCCCGGTCGGGCGATCGGGCGTACGGACATTAGAAATTTATATATAGTAGATTTAGGACAGTAAATTTATAAATTCATTTAGGACAGTAAAGACTAGTAAATAAGAAATTACGATGCGGGGGCTATTTTAGGCATCATACAAGACTTTGTACGGTTTGCGCGACAACTCTGTTTTCAAGCAAAAAACCATCATAACTTTGGTATTTTCTTCGGAAATGTCAAAATACTCGACAGAAAAGCGTTTTTAGGGCTATTACAAGCATGGAGCAGCCCATTGTGCCATTTCTGACTAGAACAAGTCTGCGTATTTCGCTCATGGAAACTTAATAGTAGCTACAACATTTCCTTCAATTGCAGTAATGTTGATTTACTTCGTTATAATAAGAATCTGCAAGAAAAACAAAGAAAAATGGTGAAACGAGCATTTCCAGGGAAGAAATCGTTCATCGACCGAGAACAGCCAGAAGAACCCACAAAACAGCCCTCCTGAATCGTAATTTGTTCTCTACTAGTATTTACTGTCTTAAATGAATTTATAAATACGAAAACACCGAGAAAATATTGTATTTGGAAGGTTTTATATTTTTTTTGACCCCGATTTGGCGGAAAAGTCGTTTTAATAGAGTGGCGGAAATGTCGCCTGTGGCGGAATTGTCGTTTCCCGCGTTGGCGGAACTGTCGTTGGCGGAAATGTCATGGTCCCTTTTTCTTTGGCTAGCCGCGTTTGAACAATTGCAAAATTCAATTCAATTAATTAAAAAGAAATAAAATGTACATTTTAAAGGTATCTGGGCATAATAATGGCGTCAGTGTGAAATTGAAAATAACGGTTCTTTTACATCATCGGGGGAGGGACTTTTTGTACAATTCTAGAAATGGTTTGTAACTTACTAGAAAGTATTTTAGTAGTGTTTTTGGCAGAATATAATTGTATTTCGAGGAGAAACCCATAAAAAATGTTCGAAAATTTGAAATTTTCGTCGAAAAGTCGATATTTTTATGTTTATTTTAATAAAAATCTGTAGTTTTCGTTTGGGAACAGTAAAAAAAAAGCGTAGAAACACGTCGGGTTTTTATATTAGAACAATTGCTCGCTTCAAAAAAGCCCCCCGATAATGCGATAGAACCGCCGACAGTTCCCGGGTTTAACCACTTTTTTTAGTGACCAGCGGGCTGAAGCCGGGCGTGGAGACGGTGACGGCGTGCAACACCGGGCTCGGCGCCTCGTTGGCCTGGCTGGCCCTTCGACACGTCGGCATCCCGGCAAAGATGTTTAATGTCGGTTTTTGGGTTGAAAATTTTTAGAAATTTTCTAAATTTTTAAAACATAAAAATTTTTCATAGATTTAATTTTTCAATTAGATTTTTTATGCAATTTATTTTCTTTGGCACGTCGATTATTTCGCCAAAAATGACTTTAAGGGACCAAATTTGTTTTTGACGAAAAATCGCCATATTTTTGGTCAAAATGCAAATTTTTAAGCATTTTTCAGAATTTTTTCGAGAGTTTTGTGACTCCAAAAAATAGCCAAATTGGGTCAAAATACTTTAGACACTGGTTAGTAACAAATTTGGTACTGTACAAAATATTTTTTAAAACTTTCTTTTAACATTCCTTTTCCAAATAATTTTCTGTTGTTTTCAGGGCAGCATGACGGAGATTGCGGCGCGCGACTCTTCGCTCATCAACGAGAAATGAATGGAACAAGCCAAAAACCTATTAATGTATACAAATTTCTGTTCACTTCTCTGATTCCATCTCTTTTCTGTGATTTTCTGGCCTTTTCTTGTTACCCGCGTACTGTAATTTCTCCGTTTTCTTATTCTAATGGATTCTCTGTGATTTTACGAGCGTTTTTTCGGTGATTTCTGGTAGTAGTACTGACTATATTTATACGGCAACTGATAAGGAATTTCTTGAAGATCATTTGTGAAGAAGAAATAGAAAAATATGCACATGTTTGCAACAGGAAATCTCGAAAATGTCGTGAGATTGAGCCGGAAATATGGAAATATAAGTAAATTGGGATAGCACGGTTTTTTAGGATACAAACTACACGTGTGAAATCCGCGAGAAAGAGTTTGAAACAGTTTTTTCGTTGTTTAGAGCGTCTAATTAGCGGCGGCCCATGCCTCCAACTCAGCCATGGTGTCCTGCTTTTTGACCTGAGCCTTTTTCGATCGAGTAACCGGGCCGGTCGGCACTTCCGGAAGCTCGTCGACCTCCATTTCTTCCGATACCTCGACGGCCACGGCCACTTTTCGAGGTTTCGACGTGGCGGCGCTCTGAAAATGAGGGTTTTGGAGCCTTTGATGAGACTTTTGGGCGGCAAAATTGTTAGAATCGATGGTTTTTAGGTTTTCCTAAATGCTCGCTGCTAGCCTACCTGGAAAACTGCCCCGCTAGGTTTTTTTACAATAATCTCTGCTGGGTTGCCCGGGTTTTTTAGCTCTTGCCGCGTTTCTCAGGCATTTTGGGCATTAGAAGTTGATTTAGTTTTTAGGTTTTTCGGCATTTTGCCTCGCAAATGCCTTGCCTGCACTTTTCCGCGTTCTTTTTCGGGCTTTTTGGCAATAAAAGCGCGAAAAATGTCGATTCTGAAATGATCTCTGCTAGCCTGTCTTTTTATAGAATCGCTTGCCAATTCCCAAACGATCTCGGCTAGTTTGCCCGCGTTTTTTCGCGCCACTTCGCACGTTTTTCGGCAATAAATGCTCAATGATTAAATTGTTCGCCACGCGCGCGCCAGAGCTAATGCTTTCCAAGTTTTCCTAAATTAGAAATTTTTTCATTGCTAGCATGCCTGGAAAACTGGGTCAGTGTGCTTTTTTTACAAGAATCTCTGCTGATTTGCCCGATTTTTTAGCTCTTACCATGTTTCTGGGGGTTTTCTGCAATAAAAGGGCAAAATCGCTTGCCAATTCCCAAACGATCTCTGCTAGCTTGCCTGCACTTTTCCGCGCTTTTTTCGGGCTTTGTTGGCAAAAAAAAGCGCAAAAATGTCGTTGCTGAAATGATCTCTGCTAGCCTGTCTTTTTATAGAATCGCTTGCCAATTCCCAAACGTTTTCTGCTAGTTTGCCCGCGTTTTTTTCAGCAGTAAAAGCGCAAGAATTTCTCCAATTTTCGAGCTAAAAAAGACCTTTTAGGTTTTTGCTAATACTCTCCGCTAGCCAACCTATCGACGGTTTTAAATCCGATTTTTATTTTCGCCAAACGCTCTCCGCTAGCTGACCTTCTCCAGCTCCCTCAGCTCGTCCATCAGTTCATCCTCATCTACCGTCTCTCCTCCAGCATTCCGCGAGATAGCCTCGTTCATTTCGGCCGAATCGGCCATCTGCTCGCCGATATCGTCCATCAGATCGTTCACCTGAAAAAAAAACGGGGATTTGGCCTGGTGTTTAATCGATTACGCCACGTAATGCACGCGTTTGTATGGGTTTTGGCTCTAAAAAACCCGGCTATATTTGTACCTTATCGATATCGAGGTCCATATTGGCCTTTTTGAGGGTTTTCGACGACTCGGCCAGCACGTTCAGCACTTCGGCGTTCGTGCCCGCATCCTCGAGAGCGCCGCGCTGCGCTTCCAATTTGGCCAGCGTCCCGTCGATACGGCTAAAACGGATTTTTAGAATTCCTAAAAGTTCTCTGCCAGCTGACTTTCTACATTTCAAAACCTCGTTTTCCTAAGAATCGCTGCTGGCCTTTAGAGACTTTAGTTTTATTTTGATCGGCATAAGTTAAAACGCTTTTGCTAGCCGCCCACTCTTTGATTTCGCAAACAATCTCTGCTAGCATGCCCTTTGTTCTGGGTGATTAAACAAAGCTTTCCAAAAGGTTCTCTGCTAGTTTGCCCGCGTTTTTCGCGATTTCGACCGGAAATCCACAAATGACTTCTGCTAGCCTGCTCTTGCCTCAAATTCCTCAAAGAATCTCGGCTATTTCTCGGCTAGTCCTGCGTTCTGGACAATTAAACCAAGTTTTCCTACAGGTTTTTCGCTAGATTGCCCACGCTTTCGCTATCTTAACCAGATTTCCGCATGTGACCCCTGCTAGCCTGCTCGTTTCTCAAATTTTCTCAAAGAATCTCTGCTCATTTGCCGGCCCTACCTCAATTCCAGCTCATGATGCTTCTTCCTCCTCAACGCGTTCAGGGCCATATTCTGATTTGATTTGCCGTATTTTTTGGCTGCCGCGATTTCCTAAAAATTTAGATTTTATTAAATTTTCAAGACATAAATCGAAATTATATTCTTGTTAGTGGTATTTTTATTGTTTGTATGTATTATAACGCTTTTTTTACAGTACCTCCTCGATTTTCCTCTCGTAATATTCCTGTTTTTTGACGAGAATCGCCTCGGTGTCTTTCAGCTGATTGATCGCATCCTCGGCCGTGATTTCCTCCTTTTTCTTGCCGAATAGCCGCCCGAACATGGACATCTGAAAACAAACAAACTTTATTAATTGGTTTTCAAACCAATTTTTATTTATATGGTTTTTCATTTCCGCCTAAACTTACAATTTTTGAATTTTCCTTCCCACCGCTGTTGATTTTGTGCTTTTTCGACGAGCCGAACGGCATTTTTCTGTACCCAAAAAGCGGAAATGAATTAGGCTACAAAGTACAAGGAAAAAAGAAAGGCCAGCCCACCCATTAAAGTGCTTTTACATTATCGGGGGGGGGGGCTTTATCCTAGAATAGGATTTTTCTATCACGACAGTTTTTTTACGATTCGTAAATGTAAAAACGTGGTAAAATTTGATACGAATTAATAGCAATATTTATAAAATACGATGTGAAATGTAAATGTAAAAACGTGGTAAAATTTAATACTAAAATAGCAATATTTATAAAAATACGAAAAGCTAGATTTCAAGAATGGACAACTTTCGGCTCAACCTGGTTTTTTCAAAAATTTTATAGTTAAAAAATTAGAAAAAGGTTTCTTACTTAAAAATATCGAAAAAATTGATTTTGGGCCAAAAATGGCCGGTTTCGACAAAAATTGCCACTTTTTTTTTGAGGTTTTTGGATATTTTTTACTTCGATATATAAATAAGCTTTTTTAAAAAGCCCATGAAATTATAATATGAATTACTAGGCACTTCTGGGCTTACACAAAAAAAGAATTATTGGTTCCCCCCCCCACCGATAGGGCAAAAGGACCCAGATTCCACGTTAATATTGGGAAATTGATTTCCTAAAAATTTGTAGCCAATTTTGAGAAGCGATCTTTCCAGAAAACAGATTTCAAAAAGCTGAGTGGTTGACGTGTCGATCGGAATAAATTTGTAATATCGTCAACGGGACGAGACGAGAGATCGATAGTCGGAGAGAGAGCAGAGAAAAAGAGCGGAGAGGGAATTAATGGATCTGGGAAAGAGCCGCGAAAGATTGAAATCGACCCCCGTTTTGACGCATAAAGGAGGAGGGGGATGGACATCTGGAAAAGGAGTGTGAGTCATACAGCTAGCACAGATCATTAAGGAATCATGGGGCCCGAGGGGATGGTAGTTAATCGGTGGACTGTAGTCTGCGATAATTTGAAATTTAGGAGCGGGGCAGGCTAGCAGAGGTTCTTTGAGGAATCGATCGAAATTGCAAAGACATTTTTGGAACGAGAACACAGAGGTGACCCGAAGGCAAGCTCGCAGTGATTTTTTAGGAATTTTTGTTTCTTGTGGAATCGAAAAACGGCTAGCACAGAGCATTTCGACAATCTAAAGGCAGCCAAGCAGCGATTCTTTGAGAAGTCTTGGAAGGCTAACAGGGAGCTTCTAGGACAATTTGGAGGGCCTAGTAGAGATTCTTGCGGAATTCACAGCGAGCCAGATGAAGTTTTTTTTTAATTCTCCAGACGCTCGGGGTTCGGGGGGGGCCGGGGGTGGATGGAGGGGGCAGGCTAGCAGAGATTCTTTGAGGAATTGGAGGGGATGGATGGGGGCAGGCTAGCAAAGATTCTTTGAGGAATTGGAGGGGATGGAGGGGGCAGGCTAGCAGAGATTCTTTGAGGAATTGGAGGGGATGGAGAGGGCAGGCTAGCAGAGATTCTTTGAGGAATTGGAGGGGATGGAGGGGGCAGGCTAGCAGAGATTCTTTGAGGAATTGGAGGGGATGGATGGGGGCAGGCTAGCAAAGATTCTTTGAGGAATTGGAGGGATGGAGGGGGCAGGCTAGCAGAGATTCTTTGAGGAATTGGAGGGGATGGATGGGGGCAGGCTAGCAAAGATTCTTTGAGGAATTGGAGGGGATGGAGGGGGCAGGCTAGCAGAGATTCATTGAGGAATTGGAGGGGATGGACGGGGGGCAGGCTAGCAGAGATTCTTTGAGGAATTGGAGGGGATGGAGGGGCAGGCTAGCAGAGATTCTTTGAGGAATTGGAGGGGATGGAGGGGCAGGCTAGCAAAGATTCTTTGAGGAATTGGAGGGGATGGAGGGGGCAGGCTAGCAGAGATTCTTTGAGGAATTGGAGGGGATGGAGGGGGCAGTCTAGCAGAGATTCTTTGAGGAATTGGAGGGGATGGAGGGGGCAGGCTAGCAGAGATTCTTTGAGGAATTGGAGGGGATGGACGGGGGCAGGCTAGAAGAGATTCTTTGAGGAATTGGAGGGGATGGACGGGGGCAGGCTAGCAGAGATTCTTTGAGGAATTGGAGCGGATGGAGGGGGCAGGCTAGCAGAGATTCTTTGAGGAATTGGAGGGGATGGACGGGGGCAGGCTAGCAGAGATTCTTTGGGATCCAGAAAACCGAACGAAAGCGTTTGAGTTGTTAGAAACATGTGTTTCCAATCGGTTTTCGTGTCTAATCGATAAATGGCCATTTAGTAGGAGACAGCCGGTCAGTCAGCCCGAGGCAAAGATGGCCTTGGATGGAATGGGGATGGAGGGGGGATGGAATGGACATCAAAATAGAACAACGGACAAGTACGGGACTGTACTCGGGACAATTGAAGAGAGGGAGAGAGAGAGAGAGAGAGAGAGAGAGAGTGAGAGAAAGTGCGAGAGAGAGAGAGTGAGAAAGAAAAAAAGACAGAAGGAGCGAGAGAGAGCGAGAGAGAGAGAGAGAGAGAGAGAGAGAGAGAGAGAGAGAGATAGAAAGAGAGAAATAGAGAGCGAGAGTGAGAGAGAGAGCGAGAGAGCGAGAGTGAGCGAGAGAGAGAGAGACAGAGAGCGAGAGAAAGAGAGAGAGAGACAGCGAGGGCGACAGATAGAGAGAGAGAGAGAGAGAGAGAGAGAGAGAGAGAGAGAGAGAGAAAGAGAAATACCTAGTGGAAAGTACCCGTACCGGATATTTGTCTTTCTTACAACCCCACCCCTTCGATGCCTGATATTTGACCAGACACCCCTCGCTGACCCTGGAATCTGTAGTAAAGAGGAATGGTGCGGAAAATGCTAGAAACACCACTTTTAAAGGTGCTGGAAAGTCATGAATCCATCAGAAAAATCTTTGAAATCGACAATTGAGATTTATCCTACTAGATTAGCTCGTTTTCGATCAAAATAGAAGCTTTAAAGGAACCGCGAAGTGACAAATCCACAAGAAAATCCTCTTTAAAATCGAGAAATTTGATTTTCGGTATTTAGGCGTACAGAAAGCCAAAAACCGTTTAAAAACCTGATCCAAAGGAAGGGTTTGAATTCTTTCAATACGAATTCAGGCTTCAAAGACACCGGGAAGTCATAAATCCATAAGAAAACGGGTAAAAATCGAACAGCGTCCGTTTTTAAAAGTTTTGTGTGCAAATTGCGTTTTTAAGAATTCAGAAGGCCAGGATTTGGTCGGTGTTTTTGAAAGCCAATAATTTTCGCACTTAAAAAAGACAAAACTCACGTCAATCTCGGCAAAGTTGTCCCGAATCGAGTCGATACCATCGTCAATCACCTCGACGAGTTTCGCCTTGGCCTCACGGGCACGACGACGGAGGTCGAGACGGGATGGCATCGGGATGGAATGGAGGAAAAGCTGCTGAAATTGCTCAATTAAATGGAGAGCCCGAAAAAACTCAGGTCTAGGGAGAGACAAAGGTGCATTCTCAACAATAACACGTTAATGGTATGGCCGGTGCTGGTGCATATCACATTTTTTAATCGTGAATAAAACAGTATAAAATAAAACCATTTAGATCAATTTTAAAGATCATTTAAATGCATAGAGTGAGCAAGAGCTGCTAAACGTATGAAATGGCTGAAAATTTGCCTGTAAAAACATGCAAAAATTGGGGATTTTGCAGGAGCAAAATGCCAACTGGAACCAAACGGAATCAATCTTCAAGACTATTTTTTTATTTTACAACGCATTTAAAACATTAGGGAACGACCTTTTCATCGAACTTTCGGCCATTTTCTGTTATTTCAAACCGAGAATAATTTACGAAACCCTGGCAGTTGAATGTGAAATGTGGATAAATAAGTTTAGCGTTAAATCAATCAGCCACTTGAACAAATTTGAATCGTCTAGCACGTCTTTTCGCGAGGTTTCAATTGCAAAAAAGCTTTTAAGGGTTTCTAGCGGCAAGTGGTCGCAATATAAAAAGTGCAAAATCGCAAGTGTCAACAGAAATGTGACGGAATCGGATTGGCACCCCGCGGATAATCGATGAGATTTCGCAGGGGGAGTAGAAAACGGGATGGACGAGTGAAATGAGGAAAAACAGAGGGGAGACTCGGGGGGCATAGGTCGACTGGCAGCGCTGATGGGGAGGATGAGAGAGGAGAAAGAGGGGGAAAATGAGAGGGAGCAGAGAAAGGGGCTCGGAAAACGAGTAGAAAGGGCCCTAGTGCCAGCCAGTTAGTCTTTTCCCGGCGTTTTTTTTGCGCCAAATATGTTTTCTGGCTGTCAGTTAGTCTGTTTCTGCGCTCCCTCTCGTGCTAGCGGATCTCTAGGCTTATTTACGAATAGCTTATCTTATTTAGGGTGCGAAAATGGGCTTGTTTTTTGGGACTGTATGTTTCTATGTACAGTGGCGGTCAAAAAGATGTCCTCTCGGGGGAAATTGTTTGGTGTTCGAAACCCACCAGCCCAAATTTTATGAAACTGCGCATCTAGGTCAATTTTGAGCCGGGGAATCCGATGGCGACATCGAAACCAGCTAAAAATTTTATTTTACGGATCAAATTTCGATTTCAAAAAACTATGATGAAATTGATTTTTTTTGGGGTA